AGATAAATGTCAATCAATCAACATGGCATTATTCATGTGGTAGTCTTACAGTGCCGTATTATTTACAGAGTTGGGGTCACGTTTTCTACTATCTCATTTTGTAAAAAAAACTATATAACAAACTCAGGCCTAATAATGAGTCGCTTGTTAACAATAATTACGGTAAGTATTGTTTAATTGAAATTACGTTGCACGTGTAAGTTTTCATCCTGTTGATTGTTTGCAGAGATTAATTTTATATGCATATTGTAATCCCGTCTAGATATATTGTATGTATATCTTTCATTCATTCATTTAATCTTTCATTCATTCATTCATTCATTCATTCATTCATTCATTCATTCATTCATTCATTCATTCATTCATTCATTCATTCATTCATTCATTCATTTATTCATTCATTCATTCTTATTAATTCGTTCGTTCGTTTTTATTATCCATTTATTCATTCTCAATTCTAACAAAAGCTATAACAAACTTTAGGTCTAATAATGAGTCGCTTCGTTAACAATAGTTAATTACGTAACCAAAGGATCTAATGATTATTCGCAAATAGAATGACAACGTGCGTTTCGTTCGTAGGACATTGTCAAGAATAAATATAGGCTTAGTCCACGTATTGTTTAATTACAATTTGTTGCACTTGTCAGGTTCCGGTGGTGATCGTTCGCAGAGTTTTGTATTTTATCTGTATATTTTCTTTATAACTCACACTCTCGCTCACCCCACCCCACCCTCACTACTCTCTCACCCACCACTCATTCATTCATTCATTCATTCATTCATTCATTCATTCATTCATTCATTCATTCATTCATTCATTCATTCATTCATTCATTATAATTCATTCATTCTCGTTTATTCGTTCGTTCGTTCGTTCATTCATTCATTCTTTCATTCTCAATTCGTAAAAAAAGGCATTAACAAACTTTAGGTATAATGAGTCGCTTGTTAACAATTAATTACGTAACCGAAGGATCCAATGCTTACTCGCAAATAGAAAGACAAACGTGTGTTTCGTTCTTTATTAGAACATTGTCAAGAATGTTAGGCCAGTCCACGTATTGTTTAATTACAATGTTGTTGCACGTGTCAGGTTTCAGTGGTGATCGTTTGCAGAGGTTTGAATTTTATCTATTTTCTTTATAATTCACACTTTCACTAACCACAACGCCACCCCACCCCACCCTCAATCTCTCTCACCCACCACCATTCATTCATTTTTATTCATTCTTCATGATGGAACGTAAACAAATATTGTAGTGGTAGAATTTTCTTTTTTTCTAATTTTATCTTAAATTTTAAAAACGCCGCCCCCTCCCCCCTCCCTTGAATCCGTCACTATTTATATCCAAATTTAAATCTAAAATAGCCACTTCCGACCATCTAGACGGGTGCCATAATCACATTTATACCTCACCCCCAACCATGGTGAGGCTGAGGTGGTCTAGCCTCTCCGCCTCCCTGCTCCCACTCACCCCCTCCCCTCTCTATTTCGAATTCCTGGATCCACCACTGAACGTTGATCAGATCGTTGTAAAGTTATGTTTTTCGATAATTAAAGTTGACATGACTCAAATTGTAATCGCCTTTTACTTTGTAGGCCTGTGTTGTTATCGTGTTACATTTCTTGATATAAATTTTCAAGACGGACCCGGTGGAAAAAGACGTTAGAGTTTGAGTAGGCCGAAACTACATGGGACCCATCAAAGAGGCTTAACATGTCACCAAGGAGGTTTAATACCTCCTTGATGTTACGAGGGGTATGCGAATGCAAAATTGTTGAGAATCACGGTGTATGGTGTATGTTTCTTCGTTCTACATTTCAATGGTTGAGTTATTGTGCTCACCTCAGCAAGTATAACAGTACAAAACAAACCAGGGAGTACTACTGTCTTATTGGAAAAGTTTTACCAAGGAGGTATTATAGTGAACTTATAAGAGCTTATAATACCTCCATGCTTTTACACAAGCGTATCAAGCTAGTAGCTATAGGCAGGCTACTCTTTTTGTTTACACGCGTGATCAAACCCGGAAGTTATCCAATCTAACCAAAAGCCAACATGTCGGTCAGCTTCTTAAAACACCAAAAGGCACTGGTTGACGCTTGGAAAAGTGTCTTAGATAACGATTCAGATACAGTATGGTATGTGCATTTAATTGTACTTAAATTATATTATATTTATAGACAAGATTTATGTATCCCATCGTATAGAGTCTGCAAAAAAATGCATTTTTTGCTAGGCCTGCGCATTCAACCACACCCTCACAGGGAGATGCAACGCCGGTCGAATGTAGACGAATAACCGGTTTAGAATGCCTCGATGATGCGGAAGTAACGCTGCAAGGCAGAGGCCTAGCCTTCAGTAGCTACACCTCGTTTTTAATATCACTTAACCGTACATACATTATATTATAAATAATGACATGTGTAGTATGGAGTAATGCGATCCATTGTGCAAGAATGAAGTAATTAAATAAGTTAATCAATAAAGAAGGAAAATTAACTTTCATGGGGCTATTTCTTCTTCTGGCTAAGCCTCTCGTGCATGGTCCTTGTTAAATGTTGTATTCTGTTACCTGTATCTGAAGTGTACAGTATCAGTTGGCCTCCTGCTACTAGGAACTACTACTACTACACAAGGCGAATATTGAGCCAATTAGTTGATAATAAATGTATATTTTAATAGCATCAATTAGTCAATTATAAGTAATGTAGAAATTTTGAAATGCAGTACAAGCTTTGATTAATTATTGTTTGCTTCCTCATTGTACAATCCAGGGCTGTATTTGGTTACGAAGGAAAGACTTATGAATTAAAAGTTGTAGAAACTGGAGGTAATACTAAATTGAATAATTGATGTTACTTTTTAGATATAATTTGCATTACTTACTTCATTATGAAGTCATCATGAAGTAGTGCAGTCTTCGATTCGAAGGTGACAGCCAACCTGCGAATCTGATGATTGGTATTCAAATCATCAATATATAAAAGAGATAATAACTAAATTTCACATTGACACTACTATTTTATATTATTAACCAATAACAACTATTAGCATAATTTTTATTTTTATTAATGATAATTATTATTTTGTTAATTATATGTATTATTAGTGTATAATTGTCTGTTAAAATTTCTATTACTATTAAACAGTGAATATACTCAACTTGCTATTTTATTTATTTATTTATTATTATTATTATTACTATTTAATATTTATTATTACTATTTAATATTAGCATAATTTTTATTGTTATTAATAATAATTATTATTTTCTTAATTATATTTATTATTGTTATAATTAGTGTATAATTGTCTTTGTTTGAATTTCTATTAATTAAACATTGAATATACTCACCTTGCTATTTTTTTTATTTATTTATTTATTTATTATTAACAACTTTTAATATTAGCATATTTTTTATTGATGGTATTGAATGAATATGAAAAATATTTTTTATTGTTATTAACAATAACTATTATTTTCTTAATTATATTTATTATTGTTATAATTAGTGTATATTTGTCTTTGTTTAAATTGTAACTACTATTAAACAGTGAATATACTCAACTTGCCATTTTATTTATTTGTTATTAACAACTATAAATATTAGCATAATTTTTATTGTTGTTAATAATTAATTAGTTTCTTAATTATATTTATTGTTGTTATAATTAGTGTTATATTGTCTTTGTTTAAATTTTCAACTTGCTATTTTATTTATTTATTTATTATTAAAAACTATTAATATTAGCATAGTTTTTATTGTTAATAATAATAATTATGACTTTCTTAATTATTATTGTTATAATTAGTGTATATTTGTCTTTGTTTAAATTGTAACTACTATTAAACAGTGAAATATACTCAAACTGTATTTTTATTTTATTTTTTTAAAGATGATCTTGATGAGCTTGCTGATGAGCTAAGTGGTAGTAAGATAATGTATGCTTTCTGCAGTGTAAAGGATCCAAACACATCTCTGCAAAAATTTGTTCTCATTAATTGGGTAAATCATTTTTCTGTTTGAATTTATCAATTGGTGGAATTTGGTTTTGAAAAGAGACTGATTTAACAGTAGGTTTTCTTGATATTTTGGAAATAATAAATGCTTTCATTGGTGGTTGACCTTGACTAAAATATAACTCCTTTGTTCTACTATATATCAGTGAATTATTAAGAATATTAATAACAATGACATTTGTAGTTATATAATTAAATGTGTTGACGTATGTGCTTGATATACTGTGTGTGCACTAAACCATGAAGATTTCTTGGTTCCCAGTTCAATTCTCATCGCTGCTCTCTTTGTATTCCAGCTGGAGGGCTGAAATGCAAGTTACGATAGCTCACGTCTTTCGGATGAGACGTTTAGGCCTTTGGTCCTATGTGTATTATGGCCCATGTGCTTGTTAAAGAACGCAGTGCACTCTTTGGGAAAGAGTAGGGGATTGTGTGCTGCCCGGAAGAACCCCACTGGAAATAAGTCTTCTTTAGACTTTCATGGTTATCCTTGTCTGACAAACTGTGTTAAATTTCAATTTACTGTAAGAGAGTAATTTTAGGAATTGAAGAGCAAATCACCCAGAGCTGCTATTTTCATATTGTGTATTTCTTGTTATCTGAACCTATTTCAGCAAGGAGAGGGTGCTCCAACTAAAGACAAAGGAACGTGTGCAAGACATGTTACAGATGTTGCAAAATTATTTAGGGTGAGAATTTCTTTAAACAAGTTCTTTTGTGAATAAAAATAATTCTTATGGTTTCTTTAAAGATCTATCTGTATCATCACCTAAATTAAATATTAATTTGAAAATTGTAAAAGAGAATTGATTACACTTGAAAAAAAATTATTATATTAGAGTTATTGAAAATTAGGACAAAGACAACACACTATAGTTGTCCCATATTAGGACAAAAAAAAATTATACATCTTCATTTGTTTTTTCATAATTCATTTGTTTTTCATAGTTTAATCTCTTGGCTAACATCAAATATATTTAAAATAAAATAAATGATTAAAAAGATTATTGTCTGCAGTGTCTATTTTTTATGTTTTTAATGTAATTTTTAATAATTAATATTGCACTCTATTTTTGATAATGATTTGAAAATTATTATAGGCAATTTTATACTTCAGTAATTTTGTATCCAGTCTCACAATTAAGCATATGCTGTAATGAACTGTTTTTGAATGTGATTTTTTTGCTCAATAAATATACCCAAATACATACATGTAATCAACAGGGTGCTCATGTAACAATAAACGCAAGGTGCGAAGAAGATGTTGAAGTAGACGACATGGTAAAAAAAGTAGCAAAAGCATCAGGTGCGAATTATAGTGTCCATAAGGAGAAAGCAAAACCAATGCCGGAAATAGGAGTTGTAGGAGCCGTTTATAAGAAGACCAGGGCTGATCTTGAGATTCAACAAAATAGGAGTGATGAATTTTGGCAGAAAACAGAGGTAATAACATAGATTTTCCAAAACTACTCAAAATTTTAAGAATAATTACCAGCAGGCCAAAAAATGACAACCCTTAATTTTCAAAATTTGGGATTCGTCAAACTTTACTTTTGTCTATTGAGGGCAGTATTGAGAAGGATTTTTTTTTTAAATCAAGGGAAAATTGAATAATCAATTTAATTTTTCGTATCACTAAGGAAGAAGAAAGGCAAAGGGTTGCAAAAGAAAAAGACAACAAAAATAAAGAAAAGCAAAAAATTGAAGAAGAACGCAAATTAAGAGAACAGGATGAAGCAAGAAGAAGAGAAAGTGAACTTAGAGAGAAATCTAACTTGATCGATCAAGCAAAGTATGTAAACAAGATTTTATTTTTCTAAATTTGAATTTTAATTCTTATCAGTGGACCATTATGTTGGAATATTGATGTAGTTCCGCATTCTCAATGTTCGCACCCTCAGGGTCTGCGAAATAAGCTCAGGGTCCAAGCGAAAGGGTCAGTAGGGATCCCCGAAAAAATTTGTCATGATACCATTAATTTGAATAATGTCGACAGCAGTGGGATAAGTGTTGTATTTTTTGTGGTGAATCATTTTTCATTTATAATCTTATCCTATTGGTGGAATATTGAAAATGATTAAACTTAGACTTGGGGGAGAGGGAATTGTGAAGACTTATCCTAAGGGTCCATGAATGCGAAAACATTGACAGCCACTGCCATGGATCAGCTGTAACATGAGTGTTTGTGAAATATACTCGTATTTCTGGCCGTGCCTAATGAATAGGGGAAGACTTTAGGGGGGGGCAGGCCCCTGGTGAAGTATTATCTCGATCGGCCCCACTTTTGCTCCCAACCCCCTTTTGGATCTGCCCCAGATGAACAACATACTCTGAATGGTCAGTAGTTAGTTTGGTTAATGCTATGGAAGGTCCATTCTTTATGGAGATGTTGGTTGAAAATATTTAGCATAATTTGTGTTTAATTTTGATCCGCAGAGCCAAAGAGAAAGCAGCATTAGAAAAATCAAGAGAAGATGTGCAAAAACGATGGGTAAGATGAAAATAATATTGTAATAATGATGAATTAAAATAATGCTGAAAATAGTACTACTAATAAAATGATACTACTAAAACCTAAAATATTACGAAAGTAATAGTAATTAGCTTAATACATAATATAAATAATATTAATATACAGTAATACTGAGGAATGAACTACATTCTATAATTTTAAAAAATTAATTAGAGGCAGTGATATGAAATAGGATGGTAGGGTTGGGTTGCTATGGTTGGGTTGGTTGCTATGGTTGGGTTGCTATGGTGGGGTTGGGTATATTGGCAGATTTAAGGGTGGAGGGAAGCCGGCCCAGGTCCCTTAATTGTTTTGAAATTGATAAAAAATATGGAGAAAATAGTGAATTATATTAAAATTTAAGCCTGAGAGTGACATTTCAAGCCATCTAGACGTGCCAAGGCCATACCTTTTTGTACCTCTGTGAGCCTGAGGTGGTCTAGAACCTGCATCTGTAAAAGTCCCTCCCTGGCCCCTTCTATTTTGAATTTCTGGATCCACCACTGAAAATAACAATTTTTGTATTTTATACCATCAATTTCACATAGGAAGCAAAGCAGTCAGAAGATGCCAGCCCTGCAAGACCACAAGTGTCAAGCAGACGAAAGGTAATGTGCAGAAATCTTATACTGTATACATTATTGAACCTGTGATGGTCCGGGGGCTCAGGGCCCTCCTTGTCAGGGAACCCTAGTCCTCTTAAGGGAACCCTTGCCCCATCTGAAAAGAAGGCAATTTTATCATCTTTGAGTCCGAGAGTGTAATTTCTAGGCATCTAGAATTTACTATACTTAAAATGTGGACTCAAGTTGGGGAGCTTGTACCCCTCATCGAAGAATTTCTGGGACCACCGCTGACTTATGATTTTGTTTATTTCATCTCCAATAATGTACAATTCTCATGACTTGTTAAATTTCTTGTCTTACTCCCAGGAAGCTGCTGAATTGGTATCATCACGATCCAATAATCCAAGGGCGTTCTTTGAGAACAAAGCAAGTGCGCCCCCACCAAGGCCGCCTGTTAAAGCACCTGTTCGTATACCAAGGGACAACTTTGTCCAAGGAGAAGTAGTTGACGCTGAACCAGAGGTATGCTACATTATATATAGCATGCTATGGTATATGTAGCATGCTATGATGCTGGTGGCAGCTAGTGCTGTTGGTTGATTGGTGCTGGTTATGTTGGTAGTGGTATTAGTAGTGGTGATAGTTACGGTAGTGATGGTGACAAATAGGTGATGGTGATTATGATGGTAATGGTGTAGTTTTGTTAGTGGAGATTTAAGTTAATTAGATGATGACTCTAAAGATGATGATGTTGACAGTGATAAATAATGATTTTTATTTATGAATTTTGAAAGTTAAAATTTGAAGGAGAAGGATATAAATTAAAAAATTTACATCATATTATAGCCTGAGCCAGTTGAAGAACCTGAAGCAATTGAGGAACCGCCTGCTCTTCCCCCATCAAGGAGGCCGGCTGATGAGCCCCCTGCCCTTCCACCTTCAAGAGAGCCAGCCAATGAACCTCCTGCTCTTCCCCCTTCAAGGAGGCCGGCTGATGAGCCCCCTGCCCTTCCACCTCCAAGAGAGCCAGCCAATGAACCTCCTGCTCTTCCCCCTTCAAGGGAGCCATCTAGACCAGCAGCCCCGGTACCCCCAACCCCCTATCGACAAGATTCTGAAGAGGAGGAGGAAGCACAAGATGATTGGGGAGGTATGTGTTACCTAAATTTTGAATGAGTAGTACTTACATTAGTTTAAAAAAAATATTAATATCCAACAGAAAGTGATTTGTCATTTACAGGATGGAAGTAAAGCCTAGTATCCATAAAGTCACTACACTCAATTGCTGATAGATGTCAACACTCTTGCCAACTACTGACTCTTACCAGGCCTAGAAAATAAAAAACTTCTAACCAATGATTTCTTCTGCTAGGTCCCTAGGCTAGTCCAACCTTGATAGGGCTGTTTGCACCCTTGATGTACATTTGTGCAAATTGTGGTTTATTCACAAAACAGTCTATCGTTTGAACAACTAAGCCCCATGTATTTGTTTTTTCTTTAAACCTGCCTTCAAAATAGCAATTACTGTAGTATCTATGTAGTAATGTTATGGAAACCAGGCTTATGCTGTACTGTATCTGTATTAATTGTAATTGATGATAATCAAACTGGCTAATTGGATGATGTTTTGAAACAAAATAAATGATCATTAACAATAATAATATAGGCTTGTATTTGCATTTTACAGAAAATATTTTTTCCTCTCTATATCCAATGGCATTTTTTAGAAGAGCCTTCAAATCAGCAGGTTCCTGAAGATCCCTACGAACCAGAGCCAATGTATGACAACCTTGAAGACACTGCTGCAGATACGGCATACGGGTACGAGCCTAAAGACGAAGACCCTAATGCTGTACAGGAAGAAGAACCTCAAGAGACGGGAGTGAATATCAGGGCCAAAGTGCTTTACGATTACCAAGCAGGTATTAAATTTTTTCAGCTTATTGAATTTATTTACCAATCTAAAGTAATTGTATACTAAAACTGTTTCAATATACTGAGTTACCTAAAATCCCGTTCCTGAAATTTTATGTGTGTTTGTCAATGACGTATGTAAGGGGTGTGCGAGTCGCATCCCCCCCCCAAAAAAAAAAAACTTGCGCCCCTCAGTCTTATTTTGTGGGATAGGCCCTTCACATAATCACCAACTCCCCCACTTCACCTTCGTTCGTGCCCCCTCCCCATCAGCCCCCACTTCAAGACTCCTAGATAAGCCACTGGAATCATTCTAATGTCAAAAAACTTTATATGAGAGCGTATGAGGCCATTACGTAAGTGTATTAAAAAGTTATTTTAAATTGGTAAGATTTAACTAATGCTGTAATATAACATGTTACATTATTTTATCTTTTTGACATTCCATATTTTTTTTTATTCAACTAGAGGATGATTCAGAATTGTCCTTCGACGTTGATGACATCATCGAAAATATTGACAAGATAGATGAAGGTTGGTGGATGGGAACGGGACCAGATGGACGCTATGGAATGTTTCCCGCCAACTATGTTGAAGAATTGTAAACAAATAGAAACTATAAAATTTATTAATAAACAGAATTTATGGGGAAAAAAGAAAAAAAATAGAGAAAAAAAAAATTAAAGTAATTGAATTGAGAAAGATATTTTTAAAAGCTTTAAGAAAAGCATAGCTAATGTTGAACAATTTTGACATTTTATATATTTACAAAATTGTGATTTGTAAACGTAATTCTTCACAATTATTGTGAAATAAAGAACAAATAGACCAACCATTATTATCTAAGGCCCTTCATGCAAAAAAATATAATATTGTGCCTTCAAAAATTTTGGCCTACTCTTCCTATAAAGATAACTAATAATTAAAATTTACATTTGCAAAGTCAAAATTAGCCTAAATACTGGTGATTTGTTTATGTGAACATACAAGCGAATCAGTTCATTAAAGGCAGCATTTCCTGCTAATATAACCCCAACATACTCTATTATTTTAGCACATTTTATGTATATACTGGGTCTCCTTCATGGCGGCGCACAATATTTAATTTACCAAGTTTACGTGTCATATTTTGCATTATCATTTGAGAAGTATTTTGCTTTGCCAGTCAATATTACTTGGTTAAATACACTGGATATCAGTGTGAACATCAGGGATAACCCAAAAATGTGGGGTCCTTCTGGTGATTGGGAAGAACACCGGGAGACAATCCCCTATTCTTTTCAGAAGAGTGTACTGGGTTTTTTTTCCACATGAGCCATAATGCTTACAGGCTTAACGGCTTGCACATCTCGTCTGAAAGACGGTGGGTTTTTTTACTAGAATTTTAGGCAGCTCGCTGAAACACAGGAGAGCAGCAGCGAATGGACTTGATCCGGGGTTTTAGAGATCTCCCCAGTTCAGCACACACACAGTGGCTGTATTATCAAACACGATACCTAGACGACGTACAATAAAAAAAGAACTATAAAAAAATATATAATTTAAGCCTAAAACATTGTTTATTAATATTACTATTATTTATCAATATATGTACATTTCAGATTTGACCAATTAGATGTAGGCCCACCAATAAATCATACAGTACAAAGTATTAGATATATATATATGAAAAATTAAAACCTGATTAAAATATGCATAATTTGCAATATTTTAAAGTTAATAATAATTAATAATTTAGCACTTCTACAACGAATATTGCACAGTATTTCTAGAAAAATGCTGTAAAGAAGTGGATTTTATAAGATCTTTTGAAGTCTTTTTTTGTTCCTGTAAAGTGTATTGAAATCTTTCCATGGTTCAACATGAGAAAACTAGTTCTTCCTCTACCAACATTTTCTACATTTAATTTTCTACATTTATTATGAATTGTCTATGTAATATTTCCTTTTTAATGGAGATTTTAGGAATAAATGCAGATTTTTCAATTATTCATGATTATCATCTATTCGTTTTATCTGGTGATATACAAAATATAGGTCTAGTACAGGTAAATACATTAACATTATGCATACACAGATCTTATTATAAACACATAATAATAACATATACTGTAAAATGAAAATACTGGTAGCACTAATAAGCAATTAGTAGAGCTCCACATAGTACACTATAGGAAAATTATTATACAAAGGTTAAATTTTTTGGATGCATTAAATCTAACCTAAGTATAATAATTTTCCATTTAGTGTACGATGCATGCTCTACTAATTGCTTTATAAGTCAATCGCTGTCTTTTAATTTTAGTTTTTGATAACCAACTGTTGTAGCAGTCATCGGTTGCCATAGTGATATGATCAGTATATATATGCGTATTTACATTTAGCTGTGCGTATGCTGATTGTGCTCCCTGCAGTACGTAGCCTACGCGTTCACATCAAAGAAATAAACATTTCAGCATTCGAGAGAGAATACAATCACTGACGTCCTTTTTGGTCGGTGCATGCAGACAAGTAAAATCGTGCGATGATTTCATAACTAGGCTAGGCTACGGCCTAGTAGTATTAGTAGTAGTAGGAGGCCTGGGCGGCCTCTTGCCTGCCCGTAGGCCTACATCTAAATTTGTTCCTTGAGTCTTTAAAATAGGTCTAGAATATTCTTATTAAACGTTCAGTTTGTTGTGTTTATGAGGGTTCATTGATTCAATGAATATTTTAATTGTTCATATTTATTATTGAATTTGAAGTAACTTTCTTTGGATTCTAATTAAGCTTGTTTTCAGAAAGTAATTTTCAATTACAATTCAATTTTTATCGCGGTGTGCGATGACTTCGCAGTGACGAAAAAATGAGGAATTTTTTTTTGCACACGAACCTAAAAAAAATTAAGCCAAGCGTCCACTAACTGAAAAATTAGTGGACGGTGGGGAATAGGCAAATAACATTGGGAGTTGCAGTGATGACGTCACTATTGACTTATAATTCTAATTATTTATTACACAAGCCTTCGTCAGCAGTCTATACTGGCTTCATCAGGTGCAGTGAAGTGGTACAAAGAGGAGGTAAAATATATTAAAATATATATGGTATAATATTATATAACATGGGTGTAATACCAAATATTACAACCATGAATATCATGAAAATTAATTAATTATATTATGCATGTATTCAATATGTCTTGGCGACATATCTAAGGGGTACAACTATCTATCCCCCAGAAAAACTTGAAACTTGCACATGACAAGTTATAAGCAACTTTGCTATGATGTTGACAATGAATGAATCCTGAACTTAGGCTTACAAAATATAAGGTGACTTGTAAAGCCATTATTTTAGGCACTGTTTGGAAAATAGCATTTGAAGCCATTATTTCCTTCAGGGCCACCCGCAAATATTGTATTATATTATTCTATTAAATATTATATAAATATAAATTATTATATTACATGAGTTATCCTACAATTAATCTACTGTACAAATACTTCATTATTCTGTTGACATTTTTTTTAAATTTTCACTTCAAAAGCAAGCACAGAACTTGTCAATATTACTGTGTATAAGTAAATCGTTGAAAATCAAAAAGGAAGTTTGTTTCGGATAAAGACACCAGGAATCTGCAGTGCCCTTAGTGCACCAGCTACCTTATAGTGATGTATTTAGGGAAGCACACCCCCTCCCCCACATTGAAAATGTTCAAAAGCCCAAAAAAACCATGCTCAAGTACTTAAAAATCACTTTGTATCACCTTATTTTGTGACCTAGCACCCGTTAAGCATCAAGTCCCCACTCCTCCTTCGCACCCCCATCAGATCCCCGATTTCAAGATACGCTACTGCTACCATGGTAAGTACAACATAAGACAATCACCTCTTTTCAAATATTGTACTGTAATGTACTAAGTTTTTCTGTACTAATGTGCTTTTATACACATAGAACCAACAGCTTAACACCTCATTTGAAGGACGTGGTAATTAAAGCAAAGTATAACATTGGCAAGTTTTAAATCCGTCCATCTTGTACCAAAGATTAATCATTTACCGCTGCACTAACTACGAATGTGGCACTTTTTAATGGGACTGTATAATGCTTTAAAAATATGCTGCTCCCATATTATGGTACACACCTGTTTGTGATGCGCACCAATATCCTCTGAACTAACCAGATAGGTTTTTTAATTTTTATTTACTTCAGTATGTACTTCTTGCTAATAAATACATGCGAGAAACAATAATATTTTTCACATTGTTTTTCAGTTATTATATTTTTGGTAATGTGTGCGAACGGAATGCATTACTGCTCCTTTTGTTCAATTGTCGTCTTCTTGGTCTGTAGTCGTCCATAAACATATCTGGGCTAAGCCTCCCACCAGGCTCTGTGGTAGCACGTTGTCTCAGGTATTTGATCTCTTGTTTGTACCTGTAATGTAAAAAAAAAACATTTGTAAAAAGTGGTGGAAAGTGTATGATGGTTGCAGTTTGTTGAATTCCTATGCTATGGTCACACTGCTTGCCAATGCTCTTGGGAAAGGCCCATTCCTACTACATATTTGGTTCTCTTAAAGATAGAGGTAGGATAACCCATAGATTACATATGTCATTATACTGATTTGCATACATGATCTGACTACTGTAGTTTCATGTTCACATCATCCCACAACAACAGAGCAATGAGTAACCGCCTATTCTTTTGAAGGATGCAATGGGCTCTTCAAAGTGCACACAAGCCAGATGTGGACACTGGACCTCCCCGTTTTATGTCCTTATCCAAGTGACTAAAACCGGGAACTCACTGCGGCCTACGACGTTCATACGACCGTTGGCCGACAAATCCAACTCCGCTACCTGTGAGCGTTAGATGATGCAAAGCTCGCAGATTGTCAGTGGCAGTCTGAACGAATTGTCATTTAAAAAAAATTGGTTGCGCGCACGCCGTGGCATTGCGTTCTTCATAGAATTGCATCGGCCGATGATTGCCATACCCAGAGAGTGCCCACCTTGAGTTTTACCCCTCAAATCGAGCATTGATATTAAGGATGAAGTTAACCCGCCCCCATCTTACTGCTAATGCAGTAGCTCTTTCCATTTCTTATATATAAAAAAAAGAATACATAACAGACCACTCATGAATGCTCTTGCCAGAATTGAGTAACCAACTCCAAACCGAGAAAGCATCAAATGTGCTGTCTTACCTGGCAACCACTGTGTTAATGTACTCTTGGCATTCTGCCAGCTGTTCTTCCAACATTGCATTCTGGGATAACAATGTAGCTCTCTCCAACTCAAGTTCTTGCTGTAATGTAAAATAGTGAAAACCATTGAAAAGCACAGTATAAGTTACAATTATATTTATATATTTTATAATAAGGGTCATTATCAATATTCATTTGCTTTTGTTAAGTGGTAAAATGAGGATGTCATGATCACATTTTAAGTTTAATAATAAATAATATCGGAGATCTATACAGCACCAACTCAAAACATTACCAGGCATCAAAGTGACGAATACTAAACAAGTTTACATTATACAGTAATTATTATTAATTAATGTAGTCTTCATCATCATTTACTGTAAGAGACAGAATTTAGTAGAGAGTATGAACATTTCTACGTAATTTTTTTCTTACCTGAGTATTTAGTGTAAATTCTCTCAGTTGTTTTCTTAGATCATCCCAACTTGGTTTTTCATCAGATATTCTGAAGAAGAATTTAGGAGCTTTGTTTATTGTGTACAATTTACTTTAAAAATCTGTAGTATTTTTTAAACAATTGTTTTGCATAACAGCAAATTAAGAATAAAGAGCCCAGGGTGTTTACATTTTCAACACACATTGAGGGATGAATGCATGTTAAACATGACTTAAGCTTGTAAGAGGTGTGCATTAGAGCATAAAGAGTAAATATACCCTTCAGTTGTGCTCCTTTTCTCAAGTATATCCAGCTTAATCGTCTGTTCAGTGAGAAGCTTTTGAAGCCTGGTGAGTTCTTGACGGTTGGCCGATTCCACATCCTTCTCTGAAAGACTCAAATCCAGCTCATCTGGTCCAGGATCAATCTGGTGATCCTCTGGCATCTCAAGCCCATCTATCTGCTCTTTCAACCATCTGGAAACAAGAACAATTATATTCACTAGAGTTATTAGTACATTTACACAAAGCAGGTGCAGATCCTGGGGAAAGATAGTGCCAGGAAACAAGATAGTATTTCAGAATAAATTTAAATAAGGAGATTCTGATGATTAAAATACCAGGACTTTCCTTGTAACTAATTAGAGCTCACTTTTTTCATTGGTCTTTTTAGTGTGGCTATGATCTCGATCCAGAGGTATCAACACTCCTGTGAGTCTCAGGAAACCTTACAAGAAAGGCTCCTGCAAACTGTCCAGTCTTAAGTAGAATGTCAATGTCAGAGATAACACCTCTGATGTCCCGAGATGAGCATCTTGTTAAAGTACTTTGACCTCACTAAATATGGTGAAATAAATGAGGGTACACAAACCTGTAAGCAACAAGAACTTCTTCATGCTTCTTTGCAATTCTCAGTAACTGATTCCTGTATGTGCGTGCAGCATTACTCAACTGTTCCTCACGTTTCTTGAAAGTTTCTTTTAATTCCTTCGCCATTGTGTGGATGTACTTTTGAAGATTTCTCTCTGCTGAGTTGGTACTGTTATCCACAAAGTCCTTAAATGATAAATACAAATTAATTTAAATTAAATTTGTTTAAAGGCTTTTAATATTATTTGTACAATGTTAACAACAAGTACAGGTATAATTGGGGATTGGCATGACCATGCAATGGCCTGAACTAAGCAGTCCTACCTTTCCTGTAGGCTGAGACAATTTATCTAAGTTTACGAGGTTGTTCATTTTATTCAAACAATTAGACTGTTGTTAGAAGGCTTTAATTATTGGTTTTATGTGATGGTTTGTTTATTGTTTTTTTCGCTTACAGCTATATCCTCCACATATTTTAGAAGTCGTGATCTGTATTCGCCATTTAACTCTCGAACTTGTAGCTGCAATTTGCTGTTGTCCAGCTCTAGCTCCTTGCATTTGTTGGTAGAAACAAGCAACTCCTGTGAAAATTAAAAACACAGTACAATGTTATTCAATGTTTTAGAAATACTGTACCTAGAAAAAATAATTTCAAACCATTTTTAAGAACAAAAAAAAAATAATGCTCAAGCGTTTAATTATAATATTGAATTCTCATTGAAAAGAATGCAATATTTTATTAACATATCTAATGAATGCTAAAAGGTTAAGAAAGTTTGTTTGAATGGCCTAGTGTGTGCCTACCGTTGTTTTCTCTGAGAGTTTGCGCTGTAGCTCTCGGGACCTCTTTCTTGACGTTTGTATCTCTTTTGCCAACGTCATCCTGAAAAAAATAAGAAAAACATAAAAGAATTGAAAGCTAATACAGACTTTTCCAGAGTATCAATCTAACTTAACAGAGCAATCAGAATATAGGTTTATAGGTTATATAGGGTTGGAATATGTTCTTGTCTCGTAGACCATACACACATGCATTGTTCCACAAACGCATGTGTTTTTAAGAACATAACAGCCTAGTTCTCACAAGAGCCCTAGTATCCGAATCGGGAGCTAACCATTAGCGCTAACCGTTAGCACCTGCCCGATCAGTTAGCGGTATCTGGATACGCTAACGGTTAGCAAGCGCTATCGGTTAGCAAGTTGAGGGCGTTTCTATCATCAACCAATCGCACGTACACATTTACAATTTCCAGTTTCTTATTGGCAAGTGATTCAATCATCATATTGTTGGTATCCGGATCGGGATTTTCTCGCATGGACACACGGCAGCTAACGGGTAGCAGGATCCGGATCCTGCTAACCGTTAGCTGCCGTGTGAGAACATAGCCTTACACTATTGTTTGTGGGACCTTAGCAACAATATCCAAGGGGCGGAGTTATGTTGGTAAATTGGATTTGCATAATAAATTTAGAGTCAAAAGTCCAAATATGGAGTCACTTGTGAAAAAACTAATTTGTGCCAATGCACACATTACAACGAAAATGATAGTGATAATAATTATGGTGATGATAATAGTGATGATTTTATAATGAATAAAGAGCAATAAGAATGAGAAAAAAAACAACAGAAGAAGATAAAAAGAAAGTTTATTTAAATAACTGATATTTACATCTTGTTTTCAAGTTGATCTTGCTGATTATCGTACTCGTTCCTTAGTTTTTCAATTTCATGTCGAAACTGCTTGTGATTTCCAAACAACTGTAAATTAAAGTATTCATATGCTGTCAACAAAGATGTCAATCTTGTCAGTCAAGATATCAATCAATCCATGATATGATCTAATAATGTTAGTGATAATATTTCAAAAAATATCACTATAATGACAGTATTAATAACAATATTAATATTGATTATCATATCATAATTTATTATTATATGCTTATGTCATTTTCTTTTATTACTAACATTTCTTTCCATTTCGATCCTTTCTTTCTGAGAGGCAAGCAGCTGTGTTGTCTGAAATTATAGAATTTAGAGTATAGTAATAGCCTACTTCAATATCATAAATTCAAATACATCATAAAATATTAGGCAAACACTTGGATATCAATACTCTAAAATGAGTAGATTTGTTAGAAACATTTACAATTTAATTGTTTATTTATGTAATGAACTGCGGTCCTACCCTTTGTTTGTTTGACTTCAATCCAGTGACGATACCCCGGATCCGTTCTAGATCAGGTCCCCTGTTACCGTCTAGGCTGTCAGCTTTCACTAGGTTGTCGGTCTGCTTGAGAAGCATAGAACGAGCATTCACAAGGTTTAACAACTCCAAGCCTAGCTCCTCGTTGCGAGCAACCTGTAAAGGAAGAGCTCAACTAAGCATCTACTTTTCAAGGGATACAAAATTATGAAAACAGGTTGAACAAAGAGAAGGGGGGGGGGGCAGCTTGGGAGAATCTTTTTATAACCATAGTAGATCATCATGAAGGAAATAACTCCATGGTCTCACTACAGTAAATGTGTTTCTTTTAATTTCTCCTGATTCAATTTCATTATAAAATTTTTTTGTGAACTCATGTTTGATCTGCAAATTCCTTCCAAAGTAGTATTTTAAAATCTGATTGCGAAATAAGCGTTGTGAGCATACTCTTTCTTTGAGACAGATTGTCCGCTACATAAATTTCATATTATTGTTTGGCGGCTTATCAACGCAACCCAAGAACTTTAAGTTCTGATATTCTTATTAAAGTGGAGTTGATTGCTTGGTGGTTAAGATGCTTGCTTTCCAATCCCAGGGTACTGGGTTCAATTCTTATCAATGTTGCAGGATTTTTCTCACGAATACATCATAAAATATTAGGCAAAAACTTTAAAATGAGTAAATTTGTTAGAAACATTTACAATTTAATTGTTTATTTATGTAATGAACTGCGGTCCTACCCTTTGTTTGTTTGACTTCAATCCAGTGACGATACCCCGGATCCGTTCTAGATCAGGTCCCCTGTTACCGTCTAGGCTGTCAGCTTTCACTAGGTTGTCGGTCTGCTTGAGAAGCATAGAACGAGCATTCACAAGGTTTAACAACTCCAAGCCTAGCTCCTCGTTGCGAGCAACCTGTAAAGGAAGAGCTCAACTAAGCATCTACTTTTCAAGGGATACAAAATTATGTAAACAACAAAGAGAAGTGGGGGGGGGGGGAAAGCTTGGGAGAATCTTTTTATAACCATAGTAGATCATCATGAAGGAAATAACTCCATGGTCTCACTACAGTAAATGTGTTTCTTTTAATTTCTCCTGATTCAATTTCATTATAAAATTTTTTTGTGAACTCATGTTTGATCTGCAAATTCCTTCCAAAGTAGTATTTTAAAATCTGATTGCGAAATAAGCGTTGTGAGCATACTCTTTCTTTGAGACAGATTGTCCGCTACATAAATTTCATATTATTGTTTTCAACATGTTTACTAGATTGTGAAGTAAAACTCTAGAAGCTAGGTATTATTATGAAGCTTTGGGAGTGGAGTCGGTTGTAAATCCTGGGATTGGAAATAGAGTGGCAGGGGGAGGATGAATTTTACAGAAGGGTCCATATCACAGCCAAACCATGGTTTCAGTTGAAGTATGAGATGTCAGAGTTCGCACCTCTACCGCACCTCTCTTGGACTTATATATTTTAATATATGCCTTCCTCCAATTTTTAATAAAATTAATTTTCTAAAATTTAGACGCGGGAGGGGGGGGGGATGGCGGCTTATCAACGCAACCCAAGAACTTTAAGTTCTGATATTCTTATTAAAGTGGAGTTGATTGCTTGGTGGTTAAGATGCTTGCCTTCCAATCCCAGGGTCCTGGGTTCAATTCCTATCAATGTTGCAGGATTTTTCTCACGACCAAAACAACTGCACTCCCTAAAGCACATATTGAGATTTACTTTGTGCAAAGCATCGTGTGTGTATGTTTGTCTTGTGAAAGGGATTGTCACCTACCAGTTGGACAGTGATATACTGGCTATTGACAATCCTTGGTGCATGTTTTGTGTACATAAGTAAATAATTAAAAGTAAAATAATTAATTCTTCCACAGCAGACTCATAAAATTTACCTCCTTATCATGCTCTTTTGCTAGGGTCACATGATCTGCCTTGAGGGTGACATAACGGTCAGCAAGTTCTTTACGCTGTATTTCAATCTCGTTGAATTTACTGCTGTAATAGTGGTGCTCTTTTCTAGATTTCTCCAACTGCCATTTCATGGTCCCGAGCTCATGCTCAAGTGCAAGTACCTAGAAATCATATTTAATAATTAAAACTATTTTTAATAGATTCTTTGAACTGAGTCTAAGCTGAATTAAAAATAGGCTCCCAGCGGGAACATGTGTCTAATGCCTAATTCTATAGAAACGATGATGTGGAAAATGATTAATGATTTATTGGTTTAACATCATGAGAGAAAGTGTTGATATTATACTCGCATGTATAATTGCCTATTCATTGTATACACTACAGTACACCATGGTATTTCTTGTTAATAGATAATAGATACATTACAGTGACAGTGATATCCTGTTCCTGTTACTAACCACACATACCTAAGTTTAGCTAGCCACCAGAATTAGAAAGGTCAACTGTAGCGTGGCAACATAGTGTCTACTGCACCCTGTGGGGGCAGCAGACACAATAAACCAAAGCTCTCTCCAGATTATCAAATTTTCCTTGATAAAAACTGTTGTATGCCCATATATAGTCATGATGTGCCTATATATGGTCATGATGATGTCATCTTGACTATATTTAGGCGTGTCAAGTGATAAATAGCTGTGATTTGTCCATATATGGTACTGCCATATATGGGTATGATGTGTGTGATAAATTAGAATTATTGTTTTGATTCAATTAAAAAAATAAAAATCATAAGATAGATTGTTTATTTTACCTTGTTAGTTAATTCATACTTGTCTTGCTCAATTCTTTCCTTCATCTTACTATTTTCAACTCTGTACTCAATTAGCATTTTAGATGCCTGTGAGAATAATAGAATAAAAAATGTAATGTAGAGCAACAAAAAGAAGAAAAGATAATGATATAAGCTTAGAGAGCATGGGAGATTCAAACCCTTAACAATAGATTCAAAGCATGGCCTGTAACATCTGTGTCAACCTCATTATCAGGGTACAGTATATTAAACTAAAACAAAATTCACTAACCTTTAGCCTGTCTTCGTCAGAGGTAATAAGCTTACTAGTAAGATCCGCCTTTGCCGATGCAAGGTCATGAAGCCTGCCCTCTATCTGTTTTAGCTTTACTTTCAGCCTTTCATTCTCTGCTTTAAGATCAAGCTAAAGAGGCAAAGAGAAAAATATTGAATGTGATACAAAATTCTTTAAGTTAATATTTACTGTATGGAATAATAAACTTTTCTATTAAAAGAACCCATGAATATCAGCTGACCTTCTAGGATACATTGGATGGTAACAAAAAACTTGAATTGCATTCTAAAACTTAATTAATAAATTAGCTTTCACTTGAAAATCAGCACAAAAAAAAAATTTTTAGTCCTGAAGTTCAAACCTGTAAGAAATAACATTCGTATACAGTATTCTTTACACAGACTCTGTGTGAAAGAGGCTTAAAAGTTTCTGAAAATACATTACATTGTCTGTTGTTAGACTTCTGTGTTTCATGAGAAGCTCGTCACTGGTTAAAGTAGCAGTAGTTCCCATAGCAACTGCACTGGTAGTAGTCCCATTTAATATTCTTGCACGATACTGTATCAATAGATCCTGCAATGCAATTATAAATAAACACTAATAATATTTGTGACTCACATCATTTTCTCATTTTCCTGGAATCTGGATTATTTATGCAAATGACAAAGAGTGAAGGATCAAAAATGATGTATGGAAACAAATAGATACTTACCAATGCTTGTCTGGTATTGATGATGGGGAAATTTCTTACTTGTGAAAACTTAGCAGCCATTTTAAGAACCTCTGTGAGATTCGATTGTGGTTGAGAACTTTGTCTTAAGTTCACAATCACCTTGGTAAGACAATTCCCTCCTAAAGTGTCCTCCAATAACGAAGTCACAATTGAGTCACTGTATGTTGTACAAAAATTACAAGAAATTAAGATAAAAATACCTTAAAATGTTTTTAATTTAAATATTAATAATACAAATAACAATACATAACATAAAAAAGATGTCTAAGATGAAAAAATTATGATGTAATAATTATGACAATAATGATAATGAAAATAATAATAATAATAATAATAATAATAATGAAAATAAATTATAATTTAATAGTATAATTTTACTAACCTGTAGGTGATAATTCTGTTTGGTGTCTTTTGCTCTGCAAGGGCAGTGACTAGACTTGCCAGCGAGAAAATTGTTTTGTTTGAATTAGCGCCCTCTCTAATTTTGACTTGCTGAGGATCTTGGGATAGCTTGTCTGCTGCTGGCAAGTCCACAAAAGTAAATGATGACTGACCATCTCCAACCTGAGAGAAATTAAAAAAACATAGAAATTTACAATAAACATTATTTTTTGGTTAAACTGTAAATAATTAACTGGCTTAAAATTTGTCTATGATCCTTATAAAATTCAATCAAGCATTGGATTCGATATAATATGGTATACAGTAAATATTCAGTATGTTCAAAATGTGAGTATCTAGTCTGTTGGCTGAGAGATAGAGATTTCGTTAACTTCCACTTAAGACAGATTTATCAGCTTTAAGCTTCTTCCAAGAGAAGATGATGCACATTTCTATTAAAGTCTGAAACACAAGGGGAGCAGCAATACACTGGGATCCCTATTAAAATAATTATCAAAATTATCCAAACCAAAACTATAATAAGATTGACAACTAACCCCAGAAATGTGCAGTTTTGTAATGATAGTTGCCTTGCGATGAGTTTTCCCAAAATCTGTCTCGGCCCAAGTGCGTCTCTCAGAAGCTTTCTTCAAAACAATTTCTGCTTCTTTTGCTGACTCAAGAGGGACAGAATTAAGATCCTGAAAAAAACAACACTTTAAATATATTATGTCTGTTGAGCTATAAAATTTGACTGACTTTATTAATTTAAGTAAATTATGAGGTCTGACATGGAAATTTGAATGAGAAAATATGTTCCTGGTCATTTTCATAATTTCACTGTTCCCTGTTTGAAACAAATGCTTAAATATTCTTCTTATATTTCTTTAATAGACCTGTTAAATTTGCTTGTTATTAAAATTTGAGTTCCAAATTGATGAATATTCATTAAATTCCTTTTGTGAAGCTCTGTCCAGAAAAACTGTTGCATGCCCATATATAGTCACAATGTGCCTATATATGGTCATGATGTGATGTCATCATGTCTCATGTTTTTGTCAAATAAAATGTTATAGTCTGGACAGAAGCAAATCCAATTGCAACTGCATAAAAAATGATATCATTTAAAAGAAACCCAGATTCCATCTACTGTACAACTTGAAGGCCTATGCATCTGGTATACGGTAGATTCAACAGACCTTGTGTCACATCAGTCAATACTTTTAGACAATCTGAAAGAGTTTTGAAGTATACATGGCAAGTGTGGTTGTGCTAATCAAAAACCTGGATTTGAACTCTGTAGTCTAGAGTACCAACCCTAAATACATCACAAACTTATAACTTACAGAAATGTAGGAGCCGTATTCTGGGGTATACCTGACCCTCGGACCATCAAACTTGTCAGTGTTCTGGCTGTGGTGTAAAAGGTCGTTGATGTTCTCATTGAAGATTTCAAACATCTCGATACTCAGACGCATCTGTAAGTAGTCTTCAGGAATGATAAAGAAAACCCTTTTTACCAAAATCATGTACGGTATTTCCTGGTATAAGACCACCCCCCTTGAAAACAAAATTGGTCCAATTTTTGGGAGTGGGCTAATACATGAGGAGAAATCTCTTTTCAAATCAAATGGCAATTTTTTGGCACTGTATACCTAATTCAAAACCAGTATTTGATGTTTTTTCTGAGAACATTTGTAATTTTTTCCAAGGAAAGATCGGTAAGTACATAAAATTTGGCATAAAGTAGGGGGTGGGCTAATTACCGAGGTGGACTTATACACAAGGAACTACGGTATTTACCATTTTTGACTATGAGTAATTTGATTGAGTCATCTACCCAAATAAACAGAAGTACTTAGAGATTTATACACCTGTGAAACCGATAATTATCAAATATGTTGTAACAGAAGTACTGGACTAAACCCAGTATTATTAAAATATTATGTGAGTACATTTTTGACAAACATAATTTTGACAAGAAACACAGGCTTTTGCTGGCTCTGACAAGCTTTTTTAGGTAGTTAATGTATTGTAATTCAGAATAATGTCTATAACCTTACTTATGCTAGAGCGCTCGAACACTTCACTGATCACCAACTGAACTAGGCCTGGTGCTTGTCCACCATCACCATATATTGTGTAAGTTTTACCAGCAGTTGCCTCTCCAAAGCATAGCACAGCACAATTAAAACTAGACATAAATAGCTCCACCATTGAGCTGATCGAACCACTGAAGACTGCAGCATTGCTGGCATCAGTGTCGTACACATTATTAAACCTAAGAGCAGAAACTCAAAATTATTATCATTTTTGATTATTATTATTATTATTATTTGTACCATGTATTTAATTACTTTATTATTAACTGGTGTTATCGTTATAGAAATCAGTCAAATGTTGGTTGAAAGTTTTACTGCAAAAAACCAATTCACGCAATAAAAGTTAAAAGCCTGATTATTAAATAACATAATTATAACCATTAAAAATTTAAATACATATTTTAGCATCACTGCAAGATGGTTAACATTTTATTGTTTTACTTCGTATAAGTTATATAATCAAATATTCTGGTTCTACAGGTAAATATTTCTATATCCTTAACACACTTAAAGAGGATAATTCCAGAATTTAATTATCTATTAAAATGATTAATTAATGACTTTTCACAACCACTTCAATCACCTTGACAAACATGTTGAAGCATATAGCAGAGGAAGAAGACTGAAATATAGACTGAGTTTCAAAGGTTCGTAGGAAATATCTAAATTAAACATTAAGTCAACCAATTTTTCATCTCTAGGGATTGTTTTATTTCATGAAAATGTACTTCAATAAAATGAGGAGCCATAGCCTAGGCAATTAAAATGTGAGTACATGCACACACATGGAAAAGGTTTTGTTATTTGAAAATGGCTGGTGAGCTAAAAACGCACACCTATTTTTGTTTAGGCAAGTGATTTGGGGGAAGGGAAAATTTTCTGTGGAATAGTTAGTATACACATAAATACTACTGCAGTCATCAAAGTGGTATTCAAGTTCAAAGCAACACAAAACACATCCAAACAGAAAGCATGGCCACAGTATTTGGGGTTTTTACTCGATTTAAGGTGAATGATTTTCAAAATTAAGGTGCTCTACTTTCACAATCCTGAAGAGATTGCTCTCGCTCACCATCACTCACCTCAAATCACAAGCCCTGGGCCTATGCTAGAGAGTAATTAAATTTTTTTTTTATTTGTTATTGAAATTTTTCATTGGATTCTTTTTTTTAAATAATGATAAACAATTATGAAAATGTTTACCTTTGGAACCCCTTTAAACAACTTGTTTGTTTATTCTGGTCTGTGTGGGTCAAGTTTGAATTAAAAAAAGGATTAATTGATTGAGTAGGGAGGGATATATTTATATGTGTACACAAATGTTTTTTATATATTATTGTCCTGTTTTATTGTTTTAATTTTAAGTTCACTCCCTATTTCTCAGTTTTATTTTAATTATTTTTAAGTTTGTGTCAATTATGTTTTATTTGTATTTATTGTACTCAGTGTAATTAAGTGATTCATTTTATATTGTATTTAAGTTGAGCGCACCACTCTTGAGTGCCGCCGATCTAAAGGCGTATGTTCACAAAGTAAATAAATAAACAATACCTGTGGGTAAAATTGTGGGAATCGGCGAGTGTCAATCCATCTCGTTGCTGCAGGTTATCAACCCCTTCACCTCGTAATTTAGGTCGTACTCTTGCTATAACTTCAACATCCATTTTCTGAAAAAAATCTCATTTAATTTAATTATTTGTTTTTCTTTTCTGTTTCTTGTATTTATGTATTAAAATTTATATATATACGTTTTTGTAATTTAATGTAATTTAAGAACATACATTGCAGCTCAGGGAAGAATTGTTTACAAATGCTGACTGAGTATCCAGGCTAAAGAAATATTTCTATCTATCCTAGCTAGGCTAAGTCATACAGTATTTTTAAAATTTAAAAAAAAATCAAAATGTTCAAATAAGATACCAAATCTTATGCACTTAATATCAAGGCCTATAAGTCTAGACTTGGTAGGTACAGTGGCGGCTCTAGGATATATTTTTTCGAGGGGGGGGGGGCTGAGCTGTCTGACGGGAGACTTGAATATCTAGGCCTGAGCTGGGGGAAAGGGTTTGAGAGGGGGTTCCCCCTCCCAAATGAGATTTTTTTAAGAATGAACCTCTGGATGGCCAGAAATCACACTCTCAGACTGTGACAGACATGTGTTGGCTTGGCGTGGGCCTATTTTTATATATTTTTTATTCTGACTGCCAAACGAGCTCTGGTCAATGGGGAGGGGGGCTTGACCTGTCTAGTGGGGGACTTAATAATCCCCTGCTACCCCCCGGTCTGGCACCGCCACTTGGTATAGCTAGGAGACTCATCCTAGCTATACGAATGTGCCTAAAGTAAGAGGCTTACGAAAAGGCTCACTAAAAGTAAAACTAGGCCTAGGGCCTAAGCCTGGGGCTTAGGCAGTCCTAGGCCTAGTGGTAGGAGGAGGTCTGGTTAGGCCTCTGAAAAATTAGCCTAAGCCTAAGGGAGGCCTAGGCTAGGCCTAGGTAGAGATGCTTATCCTAGGCTAGGCCCTAGAGGTTACAATATTGATACAAACTGAAAAACATCGATTTTGTCCAGTTATAAACTAATAAAAATGAAATTTGCTCACCAGAAACAATCGACCAAATTAATTACCTAATCAGTGATGAATTAGTCGCGTCTCGTTGTCATCGCGAAAAAATCACAGCAAGAATTTATCCTAACATTATATAGAGGGCGCTTTTCATCACAGAAATAGTACAGTCAATGATATCACTGCTTCAATTTTCGTCACCCCTTATCATCGTCAGCATCACATCAATACTACCATAATCGTCAAAATGATCATAATTGTCCATCTTTTTATCATCATCATCTATCATCATAACCATAATCATCCATTATCACCATCATCATCATTGTCGTTGTCATCAGCATATAAATCATCTTATCACCTCGGTCACTGTGCAAATAACGGTGTAGGGGGGTTTCTGTGAACAACACCGAAGCTGTCGGTTGTTTCGCAGTTGCCCCGGGCTCGCGCCAGTGAGTCATAAGAAACAAAAAAAAAAGAAAAAGCAGACAAAATTTGGGTTTTGCAGTTGGATATAATTGGTACACTATTCAAGTATATAAAAGTAGGATATTGTGGTAAGTTAAAATCAACTTATAGGCCTATGCTACAACATGGACTATACTGAAGTCCTCCCAAGTTTAATTGCATCACAGGTTACGTCAAACTGACTTTCCATGTTTTTTGAGTAGAAAAAACCATAAATAAAAGACAAATATTACTGAAAGCACATGTTGATTATCGCAATCGGATATTCCTACTTTGCGTTACAAACCCATAGGGGCGGATCCAGAATTTTTCAAACGGGGGGTCAAGCGGGGGGGGGGGGAGCACAACATATTTAGAATAGATAAGTGAGAGCGCAATTTCAATATAGGCCTAGGGCCTATGCCTTAAACAAATTTAAAATTTAGTGGCAAAACGTGTGGGGGGAGGCACGTGCCCCGTGCTCCCTACTGGATCCGCCCCTGTATTTTATATTATTGCAAGCCTACACTCATGTTTCTAACACCTAGGCCTACCTATAACTAGCATATATACTTAATCGAATGACATCAATGGATTTGAAATGTTGATAATGAAACTCTACCTTAAATTAAAATGTATTTCCCCTCTCCCAATTTTGTAAATTTTCAAAGGGATGGGGCGGACCGGCCGAACCCCCTGCCTTAAATGCACCTATGTTTGCGATGCAGAGTATAAAGTGTGCATAAAATACGAAGGGATTAGGCCTACATACATTTTTACAGGATTCAGAACAAAAAGCAGAAAACATCAAAATATCCGTTAGTACCCAAACGTTGTCATACACTCATAAATTTCAATCGAATATACACAATCCAATATAACTTCACTAGGCACATAGAGTTTCGACTCATTAAACGAAACATGGATTACCTTTTCGAATTTTCTGAATATTTTACTGTATTGTTATGATTTTTAAAAAAAGGCGAAATAAATGAAATGAAATGAATACCGGTAGTTTTGTAAGGTAATAGTAACAGGGGTGGACATAAATTTGGGAAAAAAAGCAACGGCTGCACACTTTGACGTTTTATGGTAAAAATTTGACGTTTCCATCGTGCTTTATACATAAACCTTCATGCACTACTATTATACCGCTTTATGCTCAGTTTAATATTACTTTTTACAAAGATCGGCATCGGGCCCTACAACTATATGGTTTTTCAGACAAAGATATTAGATGTCCCACACACAAAAGGTTTTTATTTATTTTTTCTTGTTATTCATATTTTGTAGTTGTTTATACTCTTGTGTCGAAAAATCGCATAGGCCATGTCGTCTTTGGATCGATTCTTTCACAATTCTCGTCCATAACAAATATCTGTGGAACGTTTGAACTCAAAATATTAGTAATTAGGCCCTACCTTCTTCTTTTACCTGGCATAGAGGTTAGTCTAGAATATGCGCTATGTAAGTCGACAATTATTATTACTGTATTAGGTTGTCTCTTTGAAGCAAAGCATTGAGCTTAAAAGCCACATGTCAAACCAATGGCGAATAGAGTGGCGCCGACAACCTATGGGGCTTTGACACTTTGAACAATAAAAATATACTAAAAACTTGCAATAAAGCAAACACATCCTGGCTTTAACCTTATTTTTACCGAATTTTGAACGGTATTGGCATTGCCTTATCATGTAGTCTTTTCAGCCTTATTTATTCATACATGTTTTAAGATAGGGAGGTCCCTTGCCACCTTCGTTGCACATATTTCCAGTGACTTTCTCGTCCGTCGCGCCCCATGACTCGTTAAGCCTTGGCGGATAGGCCCCCAAGGCCTACTAACATTTCGAAAGTAGAAAATACTCGATTCTCGAAAGCTTTCCCATGCTCGTATTTTGATTTGCATTGCCTTTTATAAGCTAATTTAAGCAAACCATACAGACACGCCAAACACACGACCAAATGAAATGAGGATAGGGTGTAGTTCAATCCCTATAATCCCCCAATTCTATACTTTGGTCTGTTTGGTTCTGTTAGAACTACAGAGCTTGCCTTCATTAGAATGGAGTCTGCTTCAATCTCGTAGCTACAAGAGGTCACCCCGAGCAGATGATCCAAATATCCTCTGCCTGTATTATTTACTTCTTTTTACTAGTGCATGTGGCATACAGAGTGCTGCAGTCTCTTTACCCACATTGGTGAAAATCTGAATTCAAAAGGTGGGTAACTTAGGCCTACTTCTGAACGTGGGCTTAATGCAACAAGTCCTTGCCTTCAGCGAATTAAGTTACAGTGACAAACCAAACGGTGGCAGAAATTTAACAATATAGTGCCTCCACCCAATCCTATAATCTATAGTGTATATCTATAGCCAGTGTTTACGGTGTAAACACTGGCTCGCACCAAAAGTACTCTTTCCTTTACTGCCATTAGCGTACATCAAGGATACTTGAAAACACCTCCATGGTAGATTTAAATCGCCAATGACGGAGTATAAATTATTAAACGTAAGGTCGACCGGCAAAGTGCGGTCCAATGGAAATTTTAATGTGACCAACTAAAAAAAATAATAACTTCCTCTGTGTGTGGCCCGCGCCTACGTCTTCGGCTAGAAATCTCTTGTTACGGGCCGACGCCTTTCATTTTGTAAAATAATTAGTAAAGCTGAGCATAAAACTGTATAACTGTATAACAAGCTCATATAAGCGTCAAATCTTTACAATAAAACGTTTTAGCTTGAGTGCGGCCCTCAGTTTAAATCCAGAAATCGTTTCGTTCCCCCGACCATCTTTATGCAAACCGCTGTCATAATAGTACATCCGTGTTATTCATTCTGCTTGTTCATATAGTAGTGATCTTTAAAACACAGATCGTAGCTATAGAAAATATCGGCTAATTCGTGTTTTGAGGCATCTGGCAATCCTATCTCATGCTTTTCTATTTTTCATATTATAAATATTATCTATTATTACTACTGTTCAGGAGGAATTTTATAATTAAGAGAAATTTATAAACAAAAATTAAGTAAACCATTAAAGGAGGAAATGGGAAGATTCCATAGGGAATACGTGGTTAAGATTAAAGTGAAACTTAGAACAGTGGCACCAGTCAGACTGGAAGAATGTACATTTCTAAACAATAAATTAATGTGTGGTTAGGTAATGACTAGGAGTTAAAGAAAGGTAGTTGAACCCAAAAAATAGTCAATTAATTATCAAATACTAAGAATTTTAAATACCACTGATGAGAAAAGTTTAACTGTGATAGGTTAATATTAGAAAATGGGAGGTAACAAATGTGTAACAAAATGTGAACCAGTGACCAAATGAATGAGAACTAACGAGAATTAACTCGAGAAAGTATAATACATACTCCAAGTATTGAAATAAATTTAATTAGGCCACATCTTTTTATATGTAGGCCTATTTCAAAATATCCGTCAACTCGTATAAATATAAGGCGCACATTCCTTGTTATTCATATTGCATTATATAGGCCTACAGTAATATAATTTTCTGTTACTTGCATTTATATTTATTCATGAAGGAATATGCATACTGTATCCTGTGATACATAACATATGTTTTATTTAAATAGCATGCTGTCATTGTTTTATAGCAAAATGCTAGGTTTTTTATAGTTTTAATCTTTACTAAAATGGCTGGTCTGTTTCTGAGATACACATAATACATTTTAAACAGTTTTAAAAAGTGATTTTTATTTTGACTTTTTACTACTTTACAATTGAAATTGTTAATATCTTTACGTATTTCTCGTCATTGCCAAGCTATTTTGTCGTGTGATTTTTAATGTAATTTTATCCTTCTTAACCAAGACTTTTGCAATGGAAAAACAAATACCTATTTTAAAATGGACAATAAAGTGTTCTTGAATCTAGAATCTTTTTTTAGGTATTTCACAACATCCGTCAACTGTATACATATAATAGACCTATAGTCATTGTTATTCATATTGCATTATAATAATATGTTCGTGTTTCTTGCACTTTATTTATTCCTTTATTGAAGAATAAGCATCACATTTCATATAATTATGCAATTGAAATTTTGAACAATTTATTCTTATATAATTTTTGCAATACACTGTGTTTCATATTATTTTAAAAACTAATTGTGATTTGGTCATTATTTTTCTAGATTATAGTATTCTTAACCTGTGTGATGACTGCACTCTCGAAAAGGGGCCCATCGGAACCTAGTTTCACCACTGGGAAGTGGCAGGTTCGAGGGAGGTCCCAGCCGCAGGATTTTGGTAGGGGGGTTCTTTTAGATACCGAAGGGGCACTTGCGAGCACCGTTGGCTAGGCCGGGGGAGGGGCGCTAACGCCTCCGGGGGTCTTGGGTCAAAACCCCGGTGGGGTCCAGTATTCTAAGCATTTACAGGTGTTATTTAATTGATTTGAGACGCCATACATTAAAAAAGACGTATATATTAAAGAGGTAATTTTTTGAGTTGGGAAAAGATTAAAAACAAAAAAAACAAAAACTACTACGGTACTTTAGTACTACAGTATCGGTAATTTAACTGCAGTAGCATGATACAAAACTCCAAAGAATCCAGTATGGTTTATTCTTTATTTTTTATTTATATAGTACTTTGGAAGTTGTCATACCACTTAAGACAATCAATAACAAAAAGAACCCAACGAACCCCCTGGCTACGGG